CCCGCTCGCGATGCGACTCGTGCGTCCTCGCAAGCACCCTCGGCTTGCCAGGACCCTCATTCTTGTGAATGCACTCCATCGAGCCGCATTCACACCGCAAAATCTGGAAACCCCACCTGCGCGCCGCGTTGTGCCGCAGGTGGCCTCGGGCCCCCGTGGTGAGTTTTAACACGCACGGGGGTTCACCTACTAACGTCTGGGTCTGCCTCGGGACCTTTATGATGATGATGATGATGAAGCGCCTTGAAAGGTCGGTCCTCCAAAACCACGAACACTGAGAAGCCACCAGGCGCCAAAAGCGCGAGGCAGGGACTCAAGACAGAAGAAGGAGAGGGAGTAAGACAGGAGAAAACGTTTCAACCCAAAACAGAACCCACAGAAGTAATGCACATAAGTGAGCTGTAAGATTCAACCCAAGTGTAAGGCAACAGAATTGAAGGCAAACCCAGGTCCGCTGAGTCGGCGTGACTGATGACAAGAAACCAACCCAAGATTTGAATCCCACTGACCTGTTGGAATTGAGCAAGGGAATACAACCCAAAGAAACAAAGAAAGACAAGGTCCCAGGTGCAGACATGTCCGAGACGTGAAATGAATATCCCTGCGTCCCAGTGACAACCCAGAAGGCAGAAATACTTAACAGAAAACGGCCGTCTTGTAAACTAAAAACCAAATTAAAGAAGGCAAACCCACAGCCTAAGGAACAAAATGGGAATACCATCTGTCCACACCGTCCCGTCGCCGGACGAAACAGCCTGGTATGTGAATCCCAAACTGATCAACCCATGTCTCCATTTGGTCGGCCACGGTTTGCATATAATCGCGGTGAGTGAAATCATATATCATATTCGTACAAATGTGATCTGCACAAGCATCGGCATCCGTCCGAATTGCTTTGCACACAGTGTGGATTTTCTCCTTGTCGTGCCCAAAAAATTCCATGATACCCCCCGCCATTGCAACAAGTATTTCGCTCATGTTCGATATATAGACCGAATAGAGCTGAGTCGAATACTTTTCAGCCCGCCGATTTCCTTGGTACCTGGAGTCCGAGAAGTCGTGATTCTTGAGCACCGTACTGCTTTTTAGAGACAGCTCCCTCTTAAGATTCACATTCTCCGACCTCTCGTCGTTCGCCTTCCCGAAACCGTGCCGCCAGACTACCCAATACGGATCTGAACTTCTGCTGATCTTCTCGGGGCCCTTCTGGTGGCATACCAAAGGGTTCCTGTGGTCCGTGATAGTGGTCGCCCTGGGCCCCATGAGCCTGCAAACCATGTAGAACACGAGCTGCGCAACCATGCCCACGCTCTGCACAAGCCCTGGCCGCGGCCCGTCGGCCGCCGATGGAACTAGCCCGCTGCCGAGCGTGCGGGATACGTCCGCCCGTCCTGCCCTCGTCATCCTCTCCGCCTCTGGGTTGACCCGCGAACGGTCTATAAAGAACAGCGCGCTGAGGTAGCCGCCTCCTAGAGACCGCGCTGAGGGCATTCGTGAACTTGCTGGGGCGGAGGCATGGCGTCTCAGGGACTGCCAACCGACCGACACGACATCTTCATAACCCTGATCACGACGCCATGCCTCTGGGCCGTCGCAGCCATAAATACTCTAAAATAACGAGCCTGACGGGTGTCCAAACCACCTGCAGGCGGGCGACAAGGAATAACGCTCTTCAAAGCGCTTTGACTGCGTCCCCGATCCGCCTGACGGGCGCATTGAAACGGTATCTGCTAATCGACATTTGGCCCAAAGGACCTGCAGCGCTGCCTTGATCGAGTCCAAGAATGGGGTCCCATTCCAGCCCATGAATCTAGCTGCTTGCTGCGCCTGGTGCCTTCTGAGGCCCCTGAGGATGAACGCTACGGGGTGCTTGATACTAACCTTCTCGAGGTCCATCTCGAGCCCCTTAGGATCCACCCACAGCTTGAAAGACTTGATACGCCACCCAAGACGACGCACCGTCAGTACCATAGCTCCCCCTGGGCCACACGTAGTAGCCCTTCCCAGACTGATCTTGGACAGTCCAGCCTCCAGAAAAGCCTGCTTACCACCTTGAGGAGCCCAACGTTTCCCTGTCTGCTGGCTGAAATCGTGCCCGAGGTTCTTGACACTCGCGCACACCTTGAAATTTAAACTCTGGAGGATGGCGCCGAGAACCTGCGCCAACATGCTGGGCGACGCGGCGATCTGGCACTTCTGCCTATACACAGGGACCTCCATGTCGCAAAATCGCTTACAAGGTGCTGGGGGGGCTCTGGACAGCGACTCTGCGACGGGCTTCTCCGACCCCAGCGCTGAGACCGTGAAATCGTTTACCATTTCATTCGAAGATAGAAATGGCCAGTACTGCTGCATGTACAAACGCGAATCGGGAAGTACGACACGCACCGTCGAGGCGAACGAACACCCAGATATGATCGAACATCCGATCCCGAACGTACTCGAGCCCGCCTCACGAATCATAGCCACCCATGACCCTCCATACTCCATTAGTAAGCGAGCTCGTCGAAAACTAAAGTAAAGCCTCCACTGCTGAGACCTCTTCAACCTGGCTCTCGACTCTCCACCTTTTGCAATGGCCTGAACGGCCGCAGGGGCGCCCTGCAGCACCTCGTGGGAGACGGCGGCGAGCTGCTGACAGCTTTGCCTAAAACTCGCCCACTCTGGAATACGGCTGAGGACCTGCGCCGGGGCCTCGAGCTGCCCCACTCGATCCTGAACTCCATCTGAATCCCCAGATTGCTCCAACCCAAGAAGATAATACATATCGTCCAACCAAACCTGAAAACCCCTGAGCTTCCTGGACCCCTGGCTGCGCCGTGGAACGGGACCCAAACCGCGCTTCTGCAAAACTGGCTTCTCGACCACCTGGAACTTAGTACTCTTCCCGCAGTGCGACCCGCACTCAGCGGCCTCGATGCCTGGCACGTCGCTCATCTCCCGCTCCGTGGAGTCACACATCTCCCCATGGAGCAGTGATAACTCCGCACACGTTGGCTGCCGTCGCAGCCGTTCAAACTCGCCCTCGAAAATTGTCCAGTCCTGTGGCGGAGGAACTGGGCCTGTGGGCTGATCTAGCGGAAACGCCATCGGCACCTTCAGCCCCCTCTGTGTCCTCTGATGTGCCATCGGATCTAGCCTATGTGAAAAAGGAAAGTGCGTCATGCTACTGGAAACCTCTCGCCTGACTCCCGCCCGAACTTCCCCGACAAGGTCGAGCGAAACGACAGCGTAGTCACATTCACGCCGTACTTTGCCAGCACGACAAGTCGGCACCCCCGAATTAACTACAGAGGCTCTGCGTTTTCCCAGGACAGGCGACTTCTGGACCTCCGAGGGCACGTCGTTCCAGACAGCAGCGGTCGCAAAAGGCCCCTGAGAACAATAAATAAACTCCCCCAGCTGATTTAACTGTTGTTTACCCTTAGCTCCTTTGGCCCCTTCTCCGTCAGGATCGCACAGTGCGCACACATAGAAACCACCTCGCACGCACCCATTGACCCATACAATCGTTGAACGCACTTGGCGAAGGTGCCGTGCTCCACCTGCAACTTCACTGACGCACATGTGCTGTCGAACTCCTACTGCTCCCCCTGCCGAGATGCCTCCCAGGGCCATCTGGTCCGCTGGACTGCTGCTCAGCTTCCAACCCTCGTCGGCCTCTGACTTCTCAGACCGTGAAACGTTGGTCTTCGTGACCCTGCACCCCCGCGTCGTGGAAGAGGAACTGCTTCGACTGGTACTCTTGGGCAGCGCCACGCCACCCTTGTTAAACACTCGGCGGGCTTGACGCAGGAGTCTCCACACCTCCTTTGACAGCGCCTGGGCCTTTCCCGTGGCTCGGTTGGGAACCCACCAGGCGCCTCGCGCGGGCGCGCAGCTCCTTCGCCGACGCCGCCGCGCCAGGCTGCGCAGGCACCTCAGCCGCGCCAGGCTGCGGGCTGCCCTCGGCGGCCTCCGCGCCTTCGCCCGGCTGCGCTGGCGGGGCAGACCCTGCAGCCTCAGGCGCAACAGGCTCCTGGCGCCGACGCTTCGAACGCAGCCGAGCCTTGAGCTCCTCGTGCTCCTTCTTGTACTGCTCCGCCTTCTTCTTGAGATCTCCAAACATCGCCTTAGCGAGCGTCTGGAACTGCTCCTTGAGCTCAGCCTCTCGCTTGCGCGCCTCCTCCTTGTCTGTCTCCTCGACATCCGCGAACTCCGCCAGGCCGAAGAGGTCCTCCCCGCACGAGAGCGTCCACTCCTGCTTCCCTTCCAGCATGGCCTCCAGGCTGAGGGTCGGCGGCGCCTGCGGGACGACCGCAGGCGGCACGACGACGGCGTGCAGCTCTTTGATCGCCTCTGTGTAGATGCCCCCCTGCTTCTCGATGTGGTCCAGGAGCGTGGTGACCTTTGCCTCCTGGTCCATGACCTGCTTCTGTAGCTTCTCCAGCTTGGCGGACTCGGTGCTGAGGTCCTTCTCCAGCTGCGTGATGCACTTATGTGCCTGGTCAGCTCTGACTTGCGGCGGCACGCGCTGCTTGTCCCTGATGGCCAGCACTTGCTGGTAGTACTCGACCATCTGGTTGTTCTTGCTCTTCTCTCCAAGCTGCACCAGTTGCTGCAACTCTGGCACCGTGAGCTCAGGTACTGGGTCTGAGCTGGCCTGGACGAGGCCTGGCTGAATGGGCGGACCGTGCAGAGGAGCACAGCCATCCAGCCCAGGCGGAGTGCCCAGGTCGCGGCCCTTGCCCTTGGGCTTCTTGTTCTTGCCCGTCTTCCAGTGCCGCTCGCAGCGCTTGCACCAGTGCTCGCTGAAGGG